AAAACTCTTTGCAATATTTTGTTTGACATACAATTGTGCCTTCATTGAGCTGCTTTATTTGAAGACCGAGGAAGTAGTTTAGCTCCCCCATGAGACTCATCTCAAATTCACCCTGCATAACCTTAGAAAATTCTTCAACCAAATGTAGGTTAGTTGAACCAAAAATAATATCATCTACATATATTTGAACTAAAAGAATGTTCTTTCCTTTACGTTTAATGAAAAGAGTGGTATCCACTTTACCTCTTGAATATCCATGATCAAGTAGAAATTTACTAAGTCTTTCATACCAAACTCGAGGGACTTGCTTAAGACTGTATAACGCTCGTTTTAATTTGAAAACATGATCTGGATATTCATTATTCTCAAAACCATGAGGTTGTGAGACATATACCTCTTCATTTATGACTCCGTTTAGAAAAGCACTCTTTACGTCCATTTGATAAAGCTTAATTTTTTTTGCACGCGCATAAATGAGCAAGAGACGTATAGTCTCAAGGTGAGAAACTGAAGCATAAGTCTCCTCATAATCAATGCCCTCCTCTTACTTATATCCTTGTGCCACTAAACGTGCTTTGTTGCGGGTTATCACTCTATTTTCATCAAGTTTATTTCTAAAAACCCACTTAGTGCCTATGATATGATGGTCTCCTGGACGAGGGACAAGTTCCTAAATGTCATTTCTTTTAAATTGATTAAGCTCTTCTTGCATGGCCATTAGCCAAAATTCATCAATCAAGGCCTCTTTGGAATTTTTAGGTTCTACTTGTGAAACAAAAGTGAAGTGATAATAGAAATTACTTATCTTAGAGCGAGTCATCACTCCTTTTGAAATATCTCCCAATATGTTGTCAATATGATGGTCTTTGAGGATTTTCGAGCTGGTGGAAGATCATTTACTTCCGTTGACTCTTCTTCCTCATCTTTTGTATGACTTGTATCTTTTTTCTCCTCATCGTCAACTATTTTGGATTGATCAATTTCCTCAACAGTTTCCTTGAGCATGTCTTCTGTAGATACACCTGCACCATCAAGAGAAATACCTTTTTCCGACATTTTTCGGATAAGATTCATCAAAAGAAACATGGACTGACTTCTGAACAGTAATTAAATGCTTATTATATTGACGTTGTTTACTCTAATACCCTTAAACACAATATGTTGTTCAGTATTTTCAATTATGCAGTAAGTGTTTATGAAAGTAACTTTATAACCCTTATCACATAATTGGCTAATACTTAACAAATTTTGTTTAAGCCCCTCTACTAAATGGACACCAAAAACAGTAGTGGTAGAGGGATTACCTACACTACCTTTACCGAGTATTGCTCCTTTGTTATTGTTTCCATAAGTAACAAATCCCTTCTTCTTTGTTTTGAATTCAATGAAAAGCGATATGTCACCTGTCATGTGCCTTGAACACCCGCTGTCTAAAAACCATCTTCTATCCACGAATGTAAGACATTTTTCCTGCAATGTCAAAAGAGAGAGGTAGGTACCCAATTTTTATTGAGTCCATGTGGGTAAGTGGTAACATGGTTTCCTTTAGGCCTCCATTGGTAAATGCCTTTAGGAACAAGAAATCTCCTAAACTTACATTTTTCAATGGTATGACCAAAACCACAATAATAATGACACAAACCATGATGATGATATGTTTTCTTACTTCTGCTCATTGAATCCTTTGGAATCTTTTCAACAAAAGAATATTTTGTATATGGTGGATTCAACGTTTTCTTAAAAATTCTAGGATCGATGGCAAAAGTAACCTTGGGCTGTAAAGCTTTTTACAATTTGGCATTAAGAGTTCTAACCTCTTGTTGCCAAATATGACAAACTTCACATTACCTTCTAGGAATACATCCTCTAACATCCTTATCCTTTGAACTTTCTGCAATACTAACTTTTAGACATTTTAAGTCTTTTTCAGCTTTATAGACTTTACCCTCTAAGAATGAAAATATTTGTTTATCGAAGGATAATCTCTTAAAAGCATCTTCAGCTTTGTTTTGCAGTTTTTCAAAATTTATTTTTAGTTCAGAAAAAGACATAGAAGAAAATTTGTTAGGATATGCTTGTCTTGCTTACTTGTCGTGGTTGTTTTTCTTGTGGTAGGACTGATTTTTGGTGTGTGCCATGAGACAAAATTTGTAGTCTCATCACTATCACTCGAACTGTCATGTTTGATGAATCACTATTGCTTTCCCATGCAATGTAAGCTCTTCTTTATTTATTGAACTTCTTTGGTGGAGCTTTTCCTTTGTCCTTTTTCATCTTTGGATAGTTCGGTTTGTAGTGTCTAACTTTACCACAATTGTAGCAAGGTCCTTTACTTCTTTGCTTTTTATTCTCTTCCTGCCTTGGCTCTTTGGACTATTTTCGAAAGCTTATGAGATTTTTATCGGAGTGCTTGATTCCATTCTTTTGAATAAACCTATTACATCTCCGAAAAAAAAAGTCTCATTTCTTCATCATCAGAATTTTCATCACTACTTAAGTCATTATCTTGCTCTTTGTTTTAGGATTTAGAGCTAGAAGCCATTAGAGCTATTGACTTCTTCTCACCCTCCCTGTCTTTATTCTTCTCCTTCTTACTCTTGTTTTCATATTTTTCAAGACTTTCCAATTCTTGTTGATGTTCTTCCAGCTTCCCTAACAGAGTTGTAATTGTAAGCGTAGTGAGGTCATTGGCTTCCTTGATAGCTGTTACTTTAGGTTGCCATTCCCTGCTAAGACATCTCAGAATTTTATTAGTAGCAATTTCATTGGAAACAGGTTTTCCAAGTGCATTTAAGCGACTCACAAGATGAACGAATCTCTTTTGCATGTCGGAGACAGATTCTCCTTATTTTATGTGAAAGAGCTCGAACTCTTGATTGAGTGTGTTAATGCGGGACTGTTTAACATCAGTAGTGCCCTCATGGGAAATTTCTAAAGCATCCCACATTTCTTTAGCGGACGTGCAATGAGACACCCTATAATACTCATCAATACCAAGTGTTGAGATTATCATATTTCTGCCTCTCCAATCGCACGACCACTTCTTTCATCTATTTCATTCCATTGATCATTAGGTTTAGGTACTATTGCACCTGCATCATTCCTCATGATAATTTGAAAAGGACCATTCTGAATGGTAGTCCGTACATTCCTGTCAATGGAATTTATGTGTATTCGCATGCAGTCTTTTCAGTAGCCATAGTTTTCACCATTGAAAACATGAGCTTTATTATACGCCCCCTTTGGTTCAAAGGCCATAGCGTTACTAATAGACACAAAGCACCAGCTAACCGGTACTCTGATACCACTTGTTAGATAGTGTGGCAAGTGATCGAGAGGGGGGGGGGGGTGAATAGATCACCTCCTTATTTTTCAGGGATTTAAAATCTTTTATCAAAGTTTGTTAAAAGCAGCGGAAAAGTAAGGTCCATAATCAACTTCCGTATATTTTGAACCAACTACTAGAAAACCGTACATGCGATAAACTTGCTGGATTTTATTACTATGAAATAGATGAATCTTAAACACAAATTACTTAACATTTTTAATGCACTTATAACTAGAACAATTTTACCAATGAATTAAAACTTGTAAGCAGTTTTGTCAAACAGTTGGCGTATGCTTGTTTGATGATTAATAATTGTGATTTGATAAAAGTATTTGAACCACTATTTTATCATTAAACAGAAAACTCAGCAAGACAATTGAATCACGAAATTATGGAAAATGTAAATAGATAGAGAGAAAGAAAAAAACAATATGCAGGCAGTTTGGTAAGGAAGTTCCCCACTGTCGTCCTCGCGTGTGGGTACATCTCCCTCTCAATTCCAAAATTGAAATTGAAAATTCTTATAACAATTTTGCTGAATGTTTGAATACAAGGTTACACTACACAGACAGAAAGAAATCCCTAAGATCTTCTTCTTCTTGTAAGAACCTCCACTTGATATGAGCCTTATCAAGATTCCCTGCAAGATGCACAACCGATCCTCCGCTTCCACGACCTGTTTGCAAAAATCCCTCTAATTTCCAAATCCCTCGCTACGGATGAATCTGACTTGTGCGACCGTAACTAACAAACCCTCAAGAACACGTGTTTTCTTGAAGGACAAACCCCTTGGTTTTTCCTCGAAGCCTCCTTCAGAATCTTTAACCCAGCTGAGATTCCTTGAATGCACGGCTGAATTTCATCTCTTGATCTCTTAATCCAATTGAACAAAGATGTTTGATTTTCGTTGTTGTTGTTGAATTAAGATGATTGAGAAGATGATGAAGATGAAGTATCTTTCATGCTTCTTGCTGTTCAGAATTGATGCTCACAATTGTAAATAATTGTGTCACTATTTTACTGCTGAAAAAACTTACTTATATATGTAACAGAAAACGGTTAGAGGCAGAAATTCGTATTATGAATCGATGCATGTTAGAATGAGTCGACTCATGTTAGTTATATAACACAGAATGAGTCGATACATGTTATTATGAATCAATGCAAGCAGATATTACAACATATTACGATTTTACGATTTTCGAGGTTGGAACGATTCTGAGAGAAAATTCTAAATTTTCTTTAAGCACTCAAAGTTTTTTTTTTAATTTATAAAATAAAATAAATAAATCTTAATAATATCTAAATAATATTATGATCATAATTATTTATAATAATAAGTAATAACAAAATAAAATTAAGTTCTCGTGATAAATTCATTAAAAGGGACTATGGGTAAATGGTATTTTTCTTGTAGTGGATCTATCGTACAAATTCTTTTAAAAAACAAAATAGAAAGTGAATCATATTAAATATCATGATTAACAAAAAAAATAAAAATTGATTAATCTCTCTACATGTACATTTTTCTATATAAATCTCACCTTAAATTTGTTCCAATTAAAAAACTAAAAAGAAACCAAACTAGTGAGGTAGGGATGTTCACTCAATGTCATGTCCTAGTCTCCTAGAGACAACCCAACATGCCACACAAATTTCTAAACTAATCAAATCAAACAGAGATGCTACCACCAGATTCATTCATCCCATCACAAAAAGAACCAACAGGTGTTCTACAAATTGGACAATCAAAATGAGAATAAAGCCACATATCTATACAAACCGCATGAAAACTATGTTTACACCTTGGTAGCTTCCTAACATCTTCTCCTTCTTCATAAACCGATAAACAAACCGAACATTCATATTCATCATAACCCTTTTCTCCTTCTTCTTTTGTAACCACTTCCTTCCTATACTTGAAGCTTGAAAGCAAGTTTCTTTGTTGGTTTTCAAACCTCGTATTACTAAGATTTTCTCTTGTGGATTGTGCTTGATTATTGTGGTTTCTATTGCGACGTTTGATGATGATGATGTTGTAAATTGCTAAAACTATAGCTGCAACTCCCATCACTACAAGACTATAGTATAACATGGGTATGGTGTTGTCTTGGTTTGATAAAGGAGATGGTGGAGGAGGCGATGTGATTGTGAAAGGGCTTAGAACATCAACCATTTTTGTTTGGATGAGGTTTGAGAATTTGGGAGTGAAGAAATTTAATTTGGAGAAATAAGTTGAAGAATATTTAATTTAGTTTATAGAACTTGACATGAAAGAAAAATCCTATCCAAAGTGAATTAAATGAAGCAATCATTAGTCTTTATAATAGAGTACTATATTTTAACATATGGTTGAAAAGTATACATTACAATATTGATTATAACTACTAACTCATTCAACTAATATTTATTGCATTTGATAACTCACATAAATAAATAAATAAAAAAGAATTACTAAAATAAAATAACCAATAATTTTACTCAATTATTCAAAATAGTTATTGATATACTTTAATTATTATAATCAAAAGTTGATAATAATACACACAACGTTAATTAAAATATATAGTTAGAATATAAATTAATAAAATTGTATTAAAAATTTAAATTCTTTATAAGTGTGATAAATAATATGAACGGAACCAATAGTTAATATTAAAAAAACATGGTGGGTATGCTATGATTGGGGAAGAGATTATAATATAATTATTATTTCTTTTCTTCAATAAAAAATTATCATGGAATAAAAAAAAAGGACAAAATGATGTACAATAAGGACAAAAAGTTGAGTGAAAGTGAGCAGATCTATAGATGCCTTTTGTTTCATTATGAGTGGTCTAGGTGAGAAAATTTATAATAACTTCACCAAAATTTATTATTTGGATTAAAAATTAATAAATTGTTAAAATAGTGATAATTTATAAAATATTTTATTTAAGTTAAATTCAAAAAATTTAATTGATACTTAAAAATGAAATAATTTGAGATTTATTTTTCCCTTTATATATTATAAGTGTCAAATAAATTAATATGAGTTTTTAAATTTTATAATTTAGTCTTCACATTTTCCAAAATTTTTAAATTGAACCCTAAAATCAATCATTTTATTATTTTATCCAAATAAATAAATTTTAAAAATGAATGAATTTCAATTGAATCATCTAAATTATTTAAAATTTAAAATTTTAAAAAATTTAATTACCACATGCAAACACCTTATTACCACCACCTCTTCCCTATCACTTCCTAAACTCTGTAAAAAGACTGATACCCATAAAATAGAAAACCTTGTTGAATATTCTTATGTTCCAGAAGAAGCTCAACTTGCCGAAATAGTAACTCCCTTTTTAAGTCCTTATAATATCTTCAAAAAACAAAGAACAATTACCAGATCCATCAAAAACTTAATCTCTACCAATCACACTCATATGAAAGAGTATGTCCAGTCATCCCGACTAGACCAATGTAGTTTGAAAGCTACAAACCAAGAGCAGTATGTAGATTTAGAGATTCCTCAGAGTCTCATAAATCACTGGAAATCTGAAGGATACACATCTTAACCTTTTGGAGCAGTTAGACTCATCCTCTCTCTCCATGGAAGAAAAAATCAGCATGTCTTCTGCAAAATAGCTCTCCTAGATTCGAGTTATCTCCATTATGAAAATGTTGTCATAGGGACTATTCTAACCTCACTTCATGCAGGAAGCGTTGTTCTTACTGTTTTTCCAAATTATAATGTAAGCCTCAACGACAATACCCTATCTACAAGATTAAAAGTCCAAGTTCAAATCACTGGATCTGACCAAGTTCCAGAGGCCATGTCCGCTACTCTCCATCACCAAATAATCTATCGCCTACAAGATCATTCGATAGATTGGCCCCTCACAGGATGTTCTTCTGATTCTCTGTTAGTAGTTATGAATAGAGAAGAAGATATACCCTCTATCGTTCAGATTCCAAGAAAGATCACAAGGGAAGAACTAACTCGGTTAACTCCTCTTGAGTGGATAACAAACTATGAAAAAATCCATCAAGATAGAATATAAATACAATCTCAAGAGGCCACCTTCAGAAGATCCGTTGACAAAACGGTCAAAACAATTTTCAAAAAACCATATGAAGGATCGAGTTCAATTTCTCCTTTTTTCCAGACCATGATGATCCAACCGATTCTCAAAGAAGATTGGTGCCCAATTCATGTTGTAACTAGTAAAGGAGAACCTATCTATACTGACAAGATAAATGGTCATTTTATATGGGACGTAGATACCAATAAATGCGACCCATGATGTGAATGTTGGATGCACGATAATGATTATGACAAAGATATTATCCTTCTGAAAAGAAAAAACAACAGGGCGTGCAAACCATCTCTTCCTCCACAAAGAAGATACAATCCTGATAACCATCCATGGGTAGGTATCCATGATAAAAAGAAACCTCTTCCTATTTATGAGGAAGCTCTCAAGATCCCCAGGAAAGAAAAACTGTTGTCACCTGTTGTACCCCAAAATTTGCCCTCTCATTTTATCAAGATTTCCCCTCACAAGACTCTTTGGACTCAGGACCAAGCTATGGTTTGCTCTGCTCAAGACATCTCCTTGCACTGATGACCTGAAATTGGGGTTTGAATTTGCACAAGGATTTTTGGACTTTCAAGGCTCAAAGTGACTTTCATACTTCATGTTTGACTTATAAGATTGCCTCTACCATGTTTCAAGCCTTGAATCAATTTTTTGCCCAGTCAATTGGACAGTTGACCTAAAAATCAACTATATTGGGGAAAAAGTCAATTGTGGCCAATTTATAGTCAAACCTCATAATTTTTGATCCACATCAATATTATAAACTCATATGAACCATTTGATCAAGTTTGGATCACAACTCCTCAAGAAACTTGATCAGATCATCAAAAGGGCAAAATGGTCATTTTTAGGGTTTTGACTGTATAAGGGCAATTTCTGATTTTTCACCTAGCCAATGGCAAATTGGGTTCAACTATGGATTCAAGGAATCAATGACATCATCTTTACCTATTCACAAGGTTTAAAAGATCTCAAATGCATTGGATTGACAGATGAATTTTCCAGTCAACTGATTAAAAATTGACTGTACACTAAAAAATCAAACTTTGACTTTTTGGTCAAAATCAAGTGCCAAGGGTCATTTTTCATCAAGATGAGTAAAAACTTGAAACTTGTTCATCAAGAAACCTAATTTTGCAAATTAGGGTTTAAGATTGAAAATTTTCATAACTTAGAATTTTTCTAAGTTATGAAATTTTCTTATTTTTTCCCAAATTTGCCCAATATTTTCACCATGATGAAAATGGATTCAAACAAAACTTCCAACATGAAAGTTGTAGTCCTCCACAAACTCTACAACTTTTATTCACAAAGTTTTCCAAAAATATGCTTGTATCTCAAGTTATGATTTTTGGAATAAGGGTCCATGAAACTTTTAACTTAGTAAAATTTTGCCCTAGTTTAGGCAGGATTTTGACCTATCTTCATGGACATTTTTCACATAGTTCCACTTGGAATCTCAAAATTAATTTCAAATATGGATTGTAGAGCATGTTACAAGCTTTCCAAAATGTCCAAGAACTCTCCAAAATCATTTATGGTTAGAGACAATCGAAGGTTAGAATTTGGAAAAAACTCACTTTTGATCCATGGTATTTTCATGTTGACACAAGTTGCAAACTCTATCCAGCCTCACTTGTACTTTCTCACAGGTCTTTAAACCCTTCCACACTCAAAAATTGAATGCAAACTCAAAGGTCTAAGGCATTATTCTGATCAATGGAAGTTTACACAAGAGTTTAATCTATTTTTGGCAAAAAGTGAACTATGCCATTTTGATAAAGGCAACTTTATGTCAACTTGCTTCCCTTGAGCCTTGGACCTCTCTCTTTTAAGCAAGCAAGTTCCATAAACTTAGGCAAAGGTAAAAAAATCTTGTGCATGCTGGAAGATAGCCTGTACAGGCCTGTCTTGTATCACTTCACACTTTTACTTCAAAACCAAGTAAACTTGCAAAAGGGCCATATCTTTGAAATCTGATAAGAACAAAGTTTGTAAGCATTCCAAACAACTTTTGCATATTTCCTTGGTCAGAAGCACGAGCTATCCAACCCTCAAGCCTTCTAGAACACAAAAACACCATCTTCTTGCAAAACAGGGCAGTTTCTGCACTTTGAGTTCCAAAACAAAAACCACTCGTGCGTTTTGTCCCAAACCAGTTCCAATACATTCCATATAACCCAGCTAAGCTATCCCAACCATTGGCCATTGACTATAACTCCATTTGCAAGCTTCACCATTTCTGATTTCAGCTTGTGCAGGTTAACTTCTACAGGCTTATTCAAGCAAGCTCAAAGCAAACAAAGCATTGGGGAAGGTCAGAGGAAGTTCAGGCAAGCTCACAAACATCTCAGGCCTCACTAAAAACCCATGCATTTCTATACTCGAGTTCAACTAAAACAGGTATTTTTCAACTTTCTATCTCTCTATTTAGGAATCATTAGGCTTAGGTTTGTGAATAAAAAATGTAGTACTCATTGCCCTTAAGCTGTACATATGCATAGATTTCATTTAAGTTAACTGTGTTGAGAGAATTTGATTGATGAACATTCTGAAAAAGTTAGGTTAGAAATTAGGGCCAGAGAAATTCCCTCTGGTCTTTGAGAGTTAGATTAAGTTTTTTATATGGTTAGAATCGTATGATCATGCTCTATAACTTTCATGTTGCAAGTTTTCATTTTTAAGCACAAATACAGGAGATACGAGTTTGTACATAGAACGCGCGTTTTTGTTTGAATCTGAGGTTGAAGATGTAGTAGTTGGGCTGGGCCTGGCTATTTCTCACTTTTGGCGCCCCCCAGCTTGCTGATTGCACCCCCTTGGCCCATTGTTTTATACTTTTATATTTTTCTATTTCTTTTTCATTTCTGATTTTATTTTATTTTTTCTAAACATAAAAAATTACCAAAAACATTTTCATAAATTTTCACATTTAATTTTGTATTTTTTATTATTTTTTGTAACATAAAAATAATTATTAAATAACATACTTTTATTTTCTTTAATAAAAACTTGAAAATAATACATAAAAATATTATATTTTTATTTTTACTATTTACATATTTAAATAATATTTTTTCTAATATATATA